TTAATATGGTTTATCTAACCATAATAACCATTATCAGATCCATGCTCGCCTTCCTCCTAACTAACATACCAGTATGACTGCGTCTGGAATGCCACCTTATTCCCTATATAGTGCACTACTTTTGACCAGGGCCCATAGGACTCTGGTCAAAAGCAGTGCACTGTATAGGGGACTAGAGTTCCAGTTGGGAGGCACCCTAGGACTCTGGACCAGTCAGCGGTCTGTGACCTCTGTGAGATGAACTGGCTTGGCTGATCGGGGCCTTTGTAATAGAAGAAGAGGACAATCTCAAAGACGGTGCCTGTCGGTTCCATCTCTTGACAAGGTTCTGTCGCTGATATGGCAGATGGATGCTCAGCCTGTTATAGGTGACAGACTTAGCCTGGGTCCCAGATCTGGTTGTGTCGTCTTGTACAGCCAACACCTTGGGAGCCAGGCTAAGAAAGACCCCCCCCCCCCCCCCCCCCCCCCCCCTACCTGAACTATTCTGAGCATTCACCTGTATGGAACAACACTAATGATTATATACACTCCTCATACTGGTGTTGAGGACTCCATTAAACACAATAACAATCATGCAATATATTACACATTCTGTAAATATACCGCCCTCCCTGTCAAGTCAACCCCTTAAGAGTTCAATCATGTCAAACTCCTGTCGCTGTCTATCAGCCATCGATCAAACAACAAAAGCAAAGAGACCGGTAAGCAGCCCCTTGTCCCATAGAACACAGGTTTTCGTGATATAGAAGCAAGCCAAAGGCTTGAAGGACCATAAATGGACACTTGAGACTTTTTCTATTTATTGACAAATCGAAACCAAAGAACCTTTTTCTGCACCTAACTGTTCTACAACAAAAAACTGTTCTAAAGAGGAAGATGATTATAAATGTGAGCGGCGATGATGATGAGGAGGAAGAAGGAAGTGTGGAGGAGGACAGACGGACATCAGGGGGGAAACGGAGAAATAGCTTTGTTCCGTTCTGATCGGTCAGGACATTTTTTAAGGGGAAGCAGGACAGGACTGAAAGGGTTTCAACACGTGTGGGAGCTATGCCGCTGCGGCAGCCGTCTCCCAAGGCAGAATGATGTGTCTCTGAAAGTTGGAGGTTGTCTTTAACGTGTGCCTATGCAGTTTTTCAAGAAAAAATGGAAAAGAACAACGAAAACCTCATCAGCTACAAAACCAAAGATTCAGAATTATTCCTACAGCAGTTTCCCCCCCCCCCCCACAACGTTTATTTTCCTGACAATGTCTACTAAACATGCATACATACATACTGTATAGCTAGCATGTATATTAATGCATGTATGTATGGTTTTAAGGGTACGCTCCTTCTCCAACATGACACTGTGTGATTCAGTAGGTAATGATACATCCTCTCCATAGCATCCTTCACTGGACACTGACTACCTCGGTTCTCCATCTGTCCACTCCACTAGGGAACGTCATGCCAGGGGGGGATTCAGGTGTATCTGGCACTGCAGTCTGTGGAGAAACATGATTCTGTGAAACTATGTGAAACTACACACCAAAGATAACTGCTGTACAGCACACCACAATCCTTCCAGTTCCACTAACTACCATGCTGTTGTGCTCAGACTTACAATCAGTCACACTTCATGTGGTACACTACACACACCTATACTCTATATATCTATCCCTCCCTTCTCTCTCTACCTCTCCTCTCCTCTCTCCTCTCTCTCCTCGCTCTCTCTCTCTCTCTCTCTCTCTCTTTCTCTCTCGCTTCCTCTCTCTCTCTCTTCTCCCTATCTTTCTCTCTCTCTCTCTTCTCTCTCCTCTCTCTCGTTCTCCTGTCTGTCTGTCTGTCTGTCTGTCTGTCTGTCTGTCATCACATCTCATCTGTTCACCTTACTCTCCAGTCCACTACTGAATCCCAGCGTCCATGTTAGTGAAGGAGGGTACAGTAGGGGACAGAGGGAGTGGGTGCTCGTAGGCACATCCTGTACAAACACTACTACTCCACACGTTCACAATAAGCCAAACCAAAAATAGAAACAGAACAGTAGTTCAACCTGTTGAGAGAAACTGCTCAAATGTCGGTCAAATAGCTTTATCCTTTCCTAGTTGTCTCTTTGTAAGGCTTCTAGTCCAAAGATGCTCCGCCACGGTCCTAGCCCTCCTGGTCTGGTTCTAGCCCTCCTGGTCTGGTCCTAGCCCTCCTGGTCTGGTTCTAGCCCTCCTGGTCTGGTCCTAGCCCTCCTGGTCTGGTTCTAGCCCTCCTGGTCTGGTCCTAGCCCTCCTGGTCTGGTTCTAGCCCTCCTGGTCTGGTTCTAGCCCTCCTGGTCTGGTCCTAGCCCTCCTGGTCTGGTTCTAGCCCTCCTGGTCTGGTTCTAGCCCTCCTGGTCTGGTCCTAGCCCTCCTGGTCTGGTTCTAGCCCTCCTGGTCTGGTTCTAGCCCTCCTGGTCTGGTCCTAGCCCTCCTGGTCTGGTTCTAGCCCTCCTGGTCTGGTTCTAGTCCTCCTGGTCTGGTTCTAGC